CTGACGTCTCGAATTGGACCTGTCAGTTGGGTACGTCTCGGTCGTCCATCGATTACTTTGTCCTCTCCTCCTCGCTCAAGCAGTTTGTGGTGAGCTGCTCAGTTGCGACATGGTCCACATGTACCAGACCGCACCGCCCTGTGGTGTTGAGCATGTCTGGCCACCCGCGACAGGTGACAGTTCCCAGGCTCAAGAAGCCATCGGCGTTCCCTCTCCACCGCCCGGTGGGATGCGACCCTCGCCCTCTGGAGTGGGATGGCTTGCTTGATCAGCTTTCCCAGGGGGACTGTACCAAGGACCGTTTGGATGCTGTCACTTCTCAGTGGGTTCAAAGGGCTGAGGTGGCGCTATCTCGCGTACTTCATGTCGATGGGGATCCACGGTACCGAGGCCGAGGAGGCCCCCCCAAGGTGGTGCAAGTCCCTCTGCTCGGCCCCCCTGCCTCCACTCATCCCAGAGCCATTGGGGAGGGCCGTATGTGGCGTGTCTTGGAGAGGCGACTCCAGGACATCATGTTTCTCTGGCATGGGCCTGCGCCCACCTTGGGGGGGATAAAACAAGCGGGGATCCTCTTGCGGAAGCTCGTGCACTACCAGTCCCCCTACACCGATTGCAAGCATTGGGCTTCTTGGCGAGTTCGGGTTCTGGCCTTCAACCCTTCCAACGTCTCGGAGCTCCATGAGTTGATCTGGCAGGTCCGCAAGTGGGCCCTTCAGCACGAACATCATGCGGCCTCTGAGCGGGCCCGAGCCTGGCGTGAATGGGTTCAAGAAGCTTTATCTGGAGGTGCTCGTCTGGGCCACCGGTTCACCAAAGAGGTCCCGAAGTGGGCTGCATCTGGGCTTTCTCGTTTCTCGGGGCCGTCTGGTGCGCCTCTGGGGGTTGCTGCTGAAGCCGATCTGCGGGCTCAGAAGTGGCATCAACATTGGGGTGTTGGCCAAGTTTTCCCAGAGCCTGATTTCGGTTGGTGCGATGACGAGCCAGAACTGGAGGCCCCCACCCATGAGGAGCTCTTAGCCCTTACCAGGACCTACAGCACGCACACGGCCATTGGAGTTTGTGGTCTGCACCCCCGTCACTGGTCCTTCCTCGACGACGGCGCTGTCGCGGTCTTCCTTCGGATCTGGGTCGAGATGCAGCGCCTGGTCCACATTCCGAGGTGCTGGGCTCTGCTGCTTATTGCCCTCCTACCTAAGCCGCCGCCAGAAGGGGGTGATCGTCCTATTGGGATCTTCGCGACGCCTCTTCGGTTGTGGTCCCGTTGGGCCCGATGGAAAGTTGCTGGCCCCTGGGAAAAGGCCAACCCTCGCGTGTTCTGGTATGGTGACTCAGGGGCTTCGTGTGACATTTGCGTTTGGAAGCAAAGTTTCAAGGCGGAGTTGGCCAGGGACCAGGGCAAAGCGGCAGGGACAACCCTGCTCGACCTGGTCAAAGCATATGAGCATGTGCCCCACCATGTTTTAGCTGCTGCTGCCCGTCGACACAAGTTCCGAGGTAAGACCCTACGCTTCCTGCTCGCATCTTATTGCCTCGACAGAATGGTGCTCTTTGAGATGATCGCCACGCAGGCGGTGGTGACGCACCGCACGATTGTCGCGGGCTGCAGCTGCGCGACCTCCCTGCTGCGTTTGGTGCTCCTGTCGCCAGTGGATGCCGTCTCTCTACGTTTCGTGAATGTCGATGTGGCGGTCGTGGTGGATGATCTGCAGTTGCAACGTGTTGGCGAGGCGTGGGAAGTTGCCAGGGAACTCAAAGGGGCCGAGGACCTCCTGGCAGCTGAGCTTACGCAGATCGGCCTGACCCTCTCCCTGCCCAAGAAGCACCAGGTCGTCATCGGCCAAGGCGTTCGGAAGGTGTTTCGGAAAGTCAACCCGTCCTCGTCGAAGTTCCTCACTCGCTCGGTTCGGAACCTGGGGCTGGACTTTGGCGGTGGAAATCGGCTATCTCATTCGGTTCGTGCACAGCGGCTGGGCAGGATGGCGTCTCGGATCCCTCGGTATAAGCGTCTCGCTAAAGCTGGGGGCAAGACGATCAAACTGGTGCAGACTGGCCTCAAGCCTGGTATGCTCTGGGCAGTGGGAGTTCACGGCATCAGCAACACGCACCTGCTGAGGGCGAGGCAGCTGGCGCGCGCGGGCATGGTCTACAGGCACACGGGCAGGTCGCTCTCCTTGGACCTCATGCTCGCTGGGCCGCAGGTCGACCCCGCCTTCGAGTGCAACAGGAGCCCGATCTTCCTCTGGCTGCAGGCGCTTTGGGGCGGATGGGCCCCCAGAGCAGATATGGCGCGGCTTCTGAGTGGAGCATGGGCTCGCCTTTCTAGAGTTCCTTTGTCTCAAGTATGGTCTGACATTCGCGGACCTGCTTCTGCGCTAGTTGCGACACTTTTGCGTTTGGGTTGGTCTGTGTCTGACCCATTTCATTGGAAGACCCACCGAGGTTCTCTAGTCATTGAACAGATTTCTCCGAAAGATGGGGGTAGGTTAGTTGATGAGGCCACCGAGCGGTGGGTGTGGCGCCAAGTTCTTGCGAAGCATCCTTCATGGGTCTCGCCTTGCCCTCATCCTCCTCTCGTGGAGCCCCTGAGGTCTCTCCTCCAGCCTCATGCTATCCGTGGCCCTGACTGGACCCCAAGACATCAGGGACTGCTGCGGTGCCTGTTTGCGGGAGGTTTCTGGTCGCAGGAGCGACTGTACGAGTCAGGTGGAGCCGTCAACCCTAGCTGCCTTGCCTGTCAGAGTGCTGGCTCTACCTGGCACCGTTTTTACGACTGCCCTCTGCATGCTGAGTATCGTCGGGACTACAGAGCTGGCAGTGCCATGGCTGGTCAAATGCTGGACATGGCTCGAGCTGCCGCGGTGGATACCTTGCTTTTCACGCGCTTTCTTGTCCCTGACCCCTCTTGGCTCTTCCCGAGCCCCTGCCTCGAGGAGCGAGTCGTGTGGACGGTGCGGTCTCCCGACTTGCTGCTTGATGTGCACGTGTTCGGAGATGGGTCGGGAAGGCACGGGCGTTTCTCTCGCTTACGTCGCTGCGGATGGGGACTCTGTTCGCTTGACGACAGCAAGCGCGTGGTCGCTCGTCTGCATGGCCCTCTGCCCTGTCTCCTTCAATCTGTGCCAGCGGCTGAGCTTTTCAGCTTCTTGATGGCGCTGCGGTATATGGGGGCTCAGATGAAGTTTTATACGGATTGCAAGCCGCTCGTGGATGTCTGGCGCCAAGGTTTTGGAGCTGGCACCGCTGCGAGCGACCCGCTTGCCTTTCTATGGAGGGAGGTTTGGAGGCTTGTGTCTGACCGCGGGGGAGAGTCGGTGGAGGTTTCTCACGTCAAAGCACATACTCCTGCCTCTGCCGTAGCAGAGGGACGGATTTCAGAATGGCAACGGTTCGGCAATGCCCAAGCTGATCAGTCGGCTAAATGGGGTGCCGCCGTCCATGGCGATTCTCTCCAGCTGCGATCTGCGCATGGCGCGTCGCGCAGCGCCATTCGCCTCGTAGCTCAGTTCTGCACCAGGCTGGTCGCTCGGATCGGCACTATCACGCCACTCGACGCTCAAGCGCAAATACTTGGCCGTGCCATAGGCACGATTGAGGGGGGACTTGGTCCCCCGAAACCGCACTCGCGCTTCGACCCTGCGGTGACGTTGGTCGCACACAGGTTCCGCTGCATGGTGTGCCTTCGGTCTGCGAGGACACGCTCTTTGCTCGCCAGCTTCGGTGCGAGGACAGGACCAGCTCCCACGCCCTTCACCGCGCGGGGCCTTTCTTGTTCTGCTCCCTGTGCGGGGCTTTCTCGGAGAAGAAGAGCCAGGGTCTTTCGCAGGAATGCTTGCCGATGAATCGTAGGCAGGGTGTCCTCGTGAGAGACTCGAGGTACTACAGGCTTCGCAACCTCATGCGAGGTTGCCATCCGATTCGGTCCCGCTTGTTTGTGGGCCCTCCGTTTTTGCTGCGGAAGCGACGGCTGCTGGAGTCGGCCGAACTGCCGCCTCTGCCTGCTCTCTCTCCTTCGGTCGGGACTGGGAGTGGGGGGGTGGGGGTGGGGTGGGCGGGGCAGGAGTGCTCTCCGCCGCCCGCTTTCCAGGCCGATCTGGCCTTGTGGGGCGGCCTCTCAGGCTTTCCCATTGCCAGCGCAGAGGAGGACGACGACGACCCATCCCGCGGTGCGTGGAATCGGGTCGAGTGCGTCCCCTGCGCTGGCTAGGGGGTTTTTCAAACAAGGCTGGTTCGCTCGCGGTCAGTCTCTATCAGTTAAAAATCGTCTTCTTCTTCTTCTTTTCCCTCCCTTTCCTCCAATCGAGGACCCAACACCACAGGTTGGTTGGGAAAAGCACATTTTTTTGTTCAAACATGATTTTTTAAGCAAACAAAGGTTTCCGCGAGCGCATTTTCCGAAGTTCTACGGAAGCATACTTTTTTTGTTATCGTCATCCGATTCGACCAAACGCGCCTCTCGCGCGGGCGTGTCGAAATCGTTCGAACTCCCTTGCGCGTGTGCTGGGGGGGGGCACGATCCCTGTCAAATAACACCGTGCGGGCCACTGGCGCCCGTCGGCCGCGCGTGCGCGCCGAAATCCTTTTATGACCTCCACTGGGGAAAGGGTCGAGAGCTTTGGGCCCACATATTGCAAAGCCAATCTAGTGCATGTCTGGGCTGTCGCGCTCGTTCGTCTGGGAAAGCGGGAAAGCGCACAGGAGTCTCGCGGCCGGCGCGCTGGGATGTATGATGTTTGCCGCCGCACTGATTCTGTGTCGCCGTCGATTGCCCACCTTTGCATTGGACGCGCGCGCGTCGCCAGGTTGTTCCACACAGCGGGGAACATAAATGATAATGGAGGACGAGGGGACGGGGGAGGAGTAGGAAAAGGAGGAAAAGGAGGAAGAGGAGGACGAGAGAGGAGTAGAGATCAACCCATCGAAGAAAGGGAAGAAGGGTGATTTTCTGGTAGAGCTGGCACCTGAAACAATTTACGCCCAGAGGGCTTTTGATGGGAGGCACACGCTACACGAACCCCCACTGACCGCAGCCGTTTTGGTTCATGGTCTGAGAAGAGGGCGCCCGTTTACCACGGCCCAACCCTCGCCAGCCATTCTCTCCCCGCGCGAGCTTCTACCATTCCCAGGCTCACCACCCACTCAACCACCCCAACCCAACCCGAAGGCCCAAAATTTACCCTCGATGTCCACGTCGGGGAACATGTAAAAAACACGTGTGGAACCCGTGCCCCCCCTCAAAATCCGAAACTTGGGTCTTCGAATTAGGTTGTGGTGGTCTGGTAGGTAGTCACAGGCATGGCCCCCGCCCGCCTCGCCCTGGCGCTGCTCGCCTTCGCCTGCGCGACCCAGGCCGCCGCTGGGGCTGCCGTGGCTGCGGACACAGAGGAGGAGCAGGATTGCGCTTCCGCGCTGCAGGTGCCGTCGCGGGTCCAGGGTTTGCTGACGCCCGAGAACGCCTCTCGAAGAGGCAAGAACACCATAAGCATAAACTTTTGGCGCTCCGCGCGGGTTTCTTGGATCCGCGGTGGGCCACCCAAGTGGCGCCTCTGGCGCCGCCCCTGGCGCGCTCCGCGCGCCAGGACCGGGGTCCAGCGCAGATCCAAGAAATCCGCGCGGAGCGCCAACAATTTATGTTCATGCAGTTCTTTCTTCTTCTAGCCTCCGTGGTGCAGGTGCCGTCGCAGTACCCGCCGGGACCAGCGTGCAATCCTACGTTCTGCTCGGCTGGGCAGTACTGCCCGGGCAACATCCCTTGCCCCAGTGACCCGGCGTCGTGCGGCACGGGGGAGCCGAACACCTGCCTGTGCCCATGCCCCGGCGCTTCCGCGCTGGAGGTGCCGTCGCAGGCCAAGGTTGTGCCGTCGCCCGAGAACGTCTCCGTGGTGCAGGTGCCGTCGCAGTACCCGCCGGGACCAGCGTGCAATCCTACGTTCTGCTCGGCTGGGCAGTACTGCCCGGGCAACATCCCTTGCCCCAGTGACCCGGCGTCGTGCGGCACGGGGGAGCCGAACACCTGCCTGTGCCCATGCCCCGGCGCTTCCGCGCTGGAGGTGCCGTCGCAGGCCAAGGTTGTGCCGTCGCCCGAGAACGTCTCCGTGGTGCAGGTGCCGTCGCAGTACCCGCCGGGACCAGCGTGCAATCCTACGTTCTGCTCGGCTGGGCAGTACTGCCCGGGCAACATCCCTTGCCCCAGTGACCCGGCGTCGTGCGGCACGGGGGAGCCGAACACCTGCCTGTGCCCATGCCCCGGCGCTTCCGCGCTGGAGGTGCCGTCGCAGGCCAAGGTTGTGCCGTCGCCCGAGAACGTCTCCGTGGTGCAGGTGCCCGTCGCAGTACCCGCCGGGACCAGCGTGCAATCCTACGTTCTGCTCGGCTGGGCAGTACTGCCCGGGCAACATCCCTTTCCCCAGTGACCCGCCGTACCTTGCGGCACGGGGAGCCGAAACACCTGCCTAGGCCCCATGCCCCGGCGGCTTCCCGCGCTGGAGGTGCCGTCGCAGGACCAAGGTTGTGCCCGGTCGCCCGAGAACGGACTCCCGTGGTGCAGGTGCCGTCGCAGTAACCCGAAGCCGGGACCAAGCGTGCAATCCTAACGTTCTGCTCGGGCTTGGGCGCACCAGCCCGGGCCAACATCCCTTGCCCCAGTACCCGGCTCGTGCCGGCAAACGGGGGGAGTACGACGGGCGGCGTGCCTGAGCCCATGCCCCGGCGCTTCCGCGCTGGAGGTGCCGTCGCAGGCCAAGGTTTTGCCGTCGCCCGAGAACGTCTCCGTGGTGCAGGTGCCGTCGCAGTACCCGCCGGGACCAGCGTGCAATCCTACGTTCTGCTCGGCTGGGCAGTACTGCCCGGGCAACATCCCTTGCCCCAGTGACCCGGCGTCGTGCGGCACGGGGGAGCCGAACACCTGCCTGTGCCCATGCCCCGGCGCTTCCGCGCTGGAGGTGCCGTCGCAGGCCAAGGTTGTGCCGTCGCCCGAGAACGTTTCCGTGGTGCAGGTGCCCTCGCAGTACCCGCCGGGACCAGCGTGCAATCCTACGTTCTGCTCGGCTGGGCAGTACTGCCCGGGCAACATCCCTTGCCCCAGTGACCCGGCGTCGTGCGGCACGGGGGAGCCGAACACCTGCCTGTGCCCATGCCCCGGCGCTTCCGCGCGGGAGGTGCCGTCGCAGGCCCAGGTTGTGCCGTCGCCCGAGAACGTCTCCGTGGTGCAGGTGCCGTCGCAGTACCCGCCGGGACCAGCGTGCAATCCTACGTTCTGCTCGGCTGGGCAGTACTGCCCGGGCAACATCCCTTGCCCCAGTGACCCGGCGTCGTGCGGCACGGGGGAGCCGAACACCTGCCTGTGCCCATGCCCCGGCGCTTCCGCGCTGGAGGTGCCGTCGCAGGCCAAGGTTTTGCCGTCGCCCGAGAACGTCTCCGTGGTGCAGGTGCCGTCGCAGAACCCCGGGTGCCAGCGTGCAATCTACGTTCTGCTCGGCGGGCAGTTACTGCCGGGCAACTCCCCTTTGCCCCAGTGACACGCGGTCGTGCGGGCACGGGGGAGCCGAAACACTGCCTTGTGCCCATTGCCCCGGCGCTTCCGCGCTGGAGGTTGCCGTCGCCGGCCAAGGTTGTGCCGGTCGCCCAGAGAACGTCCTCCCGTGGTGCAGGTGCCGTCGCAGTACCCGCCGGGACCAGCGTGCAATCCTACGTTCTGCTCGGCTGGGCAGTACTGCCCGGGCAACATCCCTTGCCCCAGTGACCCGGCGTCGTGCGGCACGGGGGAGCCGAACACCTGCCTGTGCCCGTGCCCTCCGTGAGCGACGGGGGCTGCAGTCCCGCAGTAGTTAGTGTACAAGGCCACGGGGGCATGATCCTCGCTGCAGCCCTGCCAGCCAATTGGCAGCCGCATCTTCTTGCCGCCTCGCCTCGCCGCCCTCCCCGCTCCCCGCTCTCCGTGCCTGCCCCTGCCCCCCCCCTCCCCGCCCGCCCCCGTCCCCCCCCCCCCCTCGCCCCTCGCCTCCCGTCCCCTGCCACTCCGCCCCCCCCCCCCTACGCCCTCCCCTGCCCGCGCCCCTGCCCGCGCCCCCGCCGCCTCCTCCCCTGGCCCCCCTCCCCGCCCCCGCCCCCGGCCCGCCCCGCCCTCCCATCCCATCTCCCCGCGCCCCGCCCCTGGGCGCCGCCACTGCCTCCTCTGCCAGGCGATCCCCCCCTCCCCCCCGCTCCCTCCCCCTCCTCGCCCTCTCCCCTGGCTCGGCGGCGAGCGAGGGGGGGGGGGAAGGGAGAAGGAGAAGGCCTTCTCAGAAGGCGGCGGGACCTCTCGGAAGCCCCCGCGCCTTCTGCGAGGTTCTCTGCGTCTTCGGGGAGGGCTGGGGCTAATTTCTCCGAAGGCTGGGCGACTTCCGAGCCTTCTGAGAAGGCCCGCCCCTTCTCTCGCTTCCCCCCCCCCCCTCGCTCGCCGCCGACTGGCGGTCGGGGCATGGCTTCGGCTCTGGCTGGGGCGCGGGGCGCTCGTGCGCGTTCGCGTGCCAGCCTGGGCGGGCATCGCTGATCGGGTCGGACGAGAGGGGGGGGATAACGAAGGGGGGGGGATTGGCGACATCTGCTGCACGCAGCTGGTTTCGGCCCCGCCGCTGGGCCAGTTCCCTGATGTGTGGTCGCTCGTGGCGCCGGAAGGCGCCAGGGAAGCCAGCAACAGGAGCTGATTCGCGAGCCCCCTTTTGCTGTCACCGCCTTTTTCGTCCGCCCCGAGTTGATTGTTTTGCGCCCTGCGCAGGCATGTTGACTTTTCCAAATGGACCGGCGGCAGTGTCTTGAAAACATAGCTTCTTACGGCTATCTAGAGACTGCCGCCTCTGCCGCCGACCCCAATGCAGTGACGTATGTTTGATTCGATTTTGTCAGGATGCCTTTCCCAACGCGGCAGGAACAGTTCAGGCGAGATATCCAGGCCTGAGCGCCGCCCGTTTAGACTCCTGTTTTTTTGTTGCACGTCGGATTTCTTACGTACAGAATTATGATTATTTGATGATTATGGTTCGGGTTGATCGTATTGTATTTCCGAGCTCCAACAGCGGAGCCACCTTGGGATATTTTCAGTTCGTTTTTGCCTGGAATCTTTGGGGGGTGGCAGAACCTCTCGCCCTCGGCGAACTCCAGCGCGGGCAAACGAGGGCGGCTCCGCTGGCAGAAGCTCGCCAGAAATTAGGTAAAGTGGGAGACTCCGAAGGAGGAGGAGGAGCTGGACGAGGAGGAGGAGTAGGATGAAGAGGAGGAGGAGGAGGAGGAGGAGGAGGAGGATGAGGAGGAGGAGGAGGAGGCGGAGGAGGAGGAGGAGGAGTAGGAGGAGGAGGAGGAGGAAGAGGAAGATGAGCAGCAGGAGGAGAGAGGAGGAGGAGGAGGGAGGAGAAGGAGGAGGAGGAGGAGGAGGAGGGGAAGAGGAGGAGAGGAGGAGGAGGAGGAGGAGGAGGAGGATGAAGAGGAGGAGGATGAAGAGGAGGAGGAGGAGGAGGAGGAGGAGGAGGAGGAGGAGGAGGAGCAGGAGGAGGAGGAGGAGGAGGCGGGGGAGGAGGAGGAGGAGGAGGAGGAGGAGGAGGAGGAGGAGGAGGAGGAGGAGGAGAGCAGGAGGAGGATGAGGAGGAGGAGGAGGAGGAGCAAGAGGAGGAGGAGGAGGAGGAGGAGGAGAAGGAGGAGGAGGAGGAAGAGGAGGAGCAGGAGGAGGACGTGGAGGAGGACGGGGAGGGGGAGTGGGAGTGGGAGGGAGAAGGAGGAGGAGTGGGAGGGAGAAGGAGGAGGAGGAGGACGAGGACGAGGAGTCATGAGTCGCGGTGTGGACAAGACCCGTGCCGAGCGGGCCCGTCCCACTCTCTGACGATCAGGCTCACTCCCTAGTCCTCCCTCTGAGTGCAGGCGGTCCTTCCGGGTAGCACTGTGCACGCACACGTTTACACAAGCGCGTTGTTCGTGGCCGTCATGCCCATGATGCCGCACGGTGCATGACCATGGAAGGTTGACCCGGCCGGATCATCGGGTAACATTGATGTGTAGCATTGCTTTGATGATCCTTTTTGTGCGGAGGAGGGGGACGAGGAGGAGGAAGAGGAGGATGAGGAGGAGGTGGAGTAGAAGTAGGACCTCCGACTGGAAGGAGGGCGATGATATCCCAGGAGGAGGAGCTCGCAGGAGGAAGAGCTCCGTGAAAGGGCAGCTAGGACGAGATCCGAGGATGAGGAGGAGGAGGAGAATTAACTCCAAGGAGGAGGATGAGGAGGCGAACGAGGATGAGGAGGAGAACGAGGACAAGGCGGAGGAACGCCGAGGAGGATGACCGCCCCAAGATAAGGAGGAGGAGGAGGAGGAGGAGGAGGAGGAGGAGGAGGAGGAGGAGGAGGAGGAGGAGGAGTCGAGGGGGAGGAGGAGGAGGAAGATGAGATGAGGAGAGGAAGCGGAGGAGGAGGAGATGGAGGAGGAGGAGGAGGACGAGGATGATGATGATGATGATGATGATGATGATGATGAGGAGGAGGAGGAAGAGGAAGAGGAGGAGGAGGAGGAGCGGTGAGGAACGAGGAGGGGGGGAGGAGTTACGCGGAGGTGAGAATGTGGGAGGAGAGGGGTGTCGCCGCACGCTCCCCAAAGGAGGCTAGGGCTTGGCGCGAAGCAAAGCATGACGGTGTGAGGGATCTGTAGACCGATGAAGAGGTCGATTAACTGGATCATGATGTGCGTGTGAGATAAAGGACGATGGGAAACGACACGGGGGATGGCGATGATGAGAAGGAGGATGGGGATGAGGATGAGGAGGAAGATGATCATGATAAGGAGGAGGAGGATGAGTAGGAGGAGGAAGAAGAGGATGAGGAGGAGGAAGAGGAGGAGGCTGGGGCGGAGGCGGAGGCGGAGGCGGAGGTGGAGACGGATGATGATGATGATGCTGATGATGATGCTGCTGCTGATGATGATGAGGATGATGCTGATGATGCTGATAATGATGGGGGTAGTGATGGTGCTGGTGATGCTGCTGATGCTGCTGATGATGCTGATGATGCTGATGATGCTGGTGATGATGATGCTGATGAGGATGATGATGATGCTGATGCTGATGATGATGGTGATGATGATCAGGAGGAGGATGAGGAGGAGAAGGAGGAGGATGAGGAGGCGTTGAAGGATGAGGAGGATGATGATGAGGAGGAGGAGGAGAAGGATGAGGAGGAGGAGGAGGAGGACAAGGAAGAGAAAGTATACCGACAATAACGGGAGGATGAGGAAGGAATTCGGGAAGGCGATGAGGGTAATGATGGTCAGCAGCAGGAACATCAGGATGGCGACGAAAATCTAGCTGCTTGCGGCACACCCCGCCACAGTGCCTGTGCAACAGCGCAGCAGGAAGGAGACTGAGTGTAGGAACAGGGCAATTCCGACGATAGTTTGCATTGGGGCGGGTCGTGATCACGACTTCGTCTTCGTTCACGCGGTGGGGATGCGGAGGAGGAGGGGGAGGATGAGGAGGATGAGGAGGAGGAGACGCAGGGACAGGAGCATGAGGAGGAACAGGATGGTGATGCTGCTGCTGCTGCCGATTATGAACATGATGATGATTATGATGATAATGCTGCTGATGCTGCTGATGATGCTAATGATGATGTTGATGCTGATGCTGATGCTGATGCTGTTGATGTTGGTGGTGGTGGTGGTGGTGATGATGTTGCTGATGCTGATGCTGATGCTGATGCTGATGCTGCTGCGGCTGCTGATGATGTTGATAATGAGATTATGATGATGCTGCTGCTGATGCTGCTGCTGATGATGGTGATGGTGATGGTGATGGTGATGGTGATGATGATGATGATGATGATGATGATGATGATGGTGATGATGATGATGATGATGATGATGATGATGATGATGATGATGATGATCTGGAGGAGGAGGAGCAGGAGGAGGAGGAGGAGCAGGAGGAGGAGGAGGAGGAGGAGGAGGAGAAGAAGAGGGAGGACACGAGGATGAGGAGGAGACGGCGTTTTTGGGTCTTCCTGAGGCTCCCTGGGGGCCTCCTGGGAACGTCCTGAAATCTTATGGGGGGCCTCTTGGGGGCCTCATGGGGCCTCTTGCAGACCTCTTGGAGGCCTCTTGGGGCTTCTTGGACCTTATTACTTGTCTGACGCCTACGGAGGCTGCCTTGGGCCCCCCCCTTTCCCAGAGATAGAGAGAGGGAGAGAGAGAGGAAACAAGAAAGAGAGAAAGAGAGAGAGAGAGAGACAGAGCGAGAGTGAGAGGGGGAGAGTGTGAGAGAGAGAGAGAGAGAGAGCGAGAGTGAGAGGGAGAGAAAGCAAAAAGTTGAACCAGGGAGGGAGGGACGGAAGTGGGGAGGACAAAACTGGGAGGGATCGGCAGGGGAGGTGAGTTGGAGGGGGACGGGAGGGACGACTGGGAAGGGGACCTTGTCGGACCTGTGATCGTGTTGTACGCATGTGGTATGAATGCAACATCCTGTCCTCATCATTGCCATGGTACGAGTATGGGTTGCCTCGCCTTCTTCTCTCACCTTTCTAGCTTGCGCCGAGGCGCAGATGCAAGTGCCCGGCACGATCGCTGGTGGCATGCCCCAGGGTCTGCAAGCGCAGATGCCAGGGATGGCTCCAGGGCGGGGCTGGGGAGCAGGCAGGGGGATGATGGTGATGATGTTACTCATGCTTGCGATGCTGACGACGACGGCGACGGCGACGATGGTGATGATGATGCTGATGCTGCTGATGCTGATGCTGATGATGATGCCCAATAGTCTGATAATGATGATGATGATGATGATGATGATGATGATGATGATGATGATGATGATGATGATGATGATGATGATGATGATGAGGTTGCTGATGAGGTTGCTGATGGTAATGATGATGCTGAGGATGATGACGATGATGAGGTTGATAATGAAGATGATAATGAGGATGATAATGGTGGTGGTGATGATGATGATGATTGTGGTGTTGCTGATGAGGATGGTACTGATGCGGACGATGCTGATGCTGATGCTGATGCTGTTGCTGCTGCTGATGATGAGGATGATGCTGACGATGCTGATGATGATGGTGGTAGTTATGGTGCTATTGGTGATGATGATGATGATGCTGATGATGATGATGATGATGATGATGACGATGATGATGATGATGATGATGATGATGATGATGATGTTGATGGTTCTGTTGGTGATGATGATGATAATGGTGGTGGTTGGTGTGGTGGTAATGATCATGATCGTGGTGGTGATGATGTTACGATCCTGATGCTGCTGATGATGATTTTGATGATGATGCGATGATGATGATGATGATGATGATGATGATGATGATGATGATGAGGATGATGATGATGATGATGATGATGATGATGAGGATGATGATGATGATGATGAGGATGATGCTGACGACACGGATGCTGCTGCTGCTGATGACGATGATGGTGATGCTGATGATGCTGATGATGATAATGATGATGATGATGATGATGATGATGATGATGATGCTGATGATGATGATGATGATGATGATGATGATGATGATGATGGTGGTGATGATGATGATGATGATGATGATGATGATGATGATGATGAGGAGGAGGAGGAGGAGGATGATGATGATGATGATGATGATGATGATGATGATGTTGCTGTTGTTGTTGATGATGATGGAGATGGTGATGGATTCTATGGGATTCTGCTGATCGAACGAACACGATGCCCCATGGAATCGCGCCGCGGGTCATCCTGGCCGCATCGGGCCGTCCCCGAGCCTAGCCAGAACGCCGTGCCCTCTGAGGGCTTGCCTCAAAGGTGCTTCTCTCACAAAATCTTCCGCGAGCTGACCTCGGCACTGTAGCCTAGACTGGCTCGTCGGACCCCCGCGGCGACAGAGCCTGCTGCCACCGCCTTGGTTCTCGCACGACCCGATTCCCGCACTGTGGCTGAGATCCTTCCCAGCCCCACGATCCCCGAAGTGTTCTCGCATGAGTTGATCTCAACCCGTCCGCGGAGAACACGTCCGACCCCCTTCTCGCACGAGGTGATTCCAGCACTGTAGCTAAGAGATGGCTCGCTCGTCGGATGTAGCTGATGACATCGGGCTCGTCCTTCGACTTGTCTGCCCACGTCGGGCGCCGACTCCGCCTCCAGCCTCCCGCGGCCCGTCGGGTGTAGCTGATGGCATCGGGCTCGACCTTCGCCCCGCATGCCCTGACCCCAGCACTGTAGCTGATGACGTCAGGCTCGTCCTTCGCCTGTCGGACTCCCGACTTTCCCCGTAGCGCCAGCGTGTGCTGCCACTGCGCGCGCCCTTTCTCGCACGGACTGCTCCCAGCTCTGTAGCTGATCGTGGCCCACCCGCACTTTCCTCGCAGCGCCAGCTTCGGCTGCCACTGCGCGCCCCCTTTCTCGCACGGACTGCTCCCAGCTCTGTAGCTGATCGTGGCCCACTCGTACTTTCCTCGCAGCGCCAGCTTCGGCTGCCATCGCGGGCCCTCTTTCTCGCACAGGCTGCCCCCAGCTCTGTAGCTGATCGTGGCCCACTCGTACTTTCCTCGCAGCGCCAGCTTCGGCTGCCATCGCGGGCCCTCTTTCTCGCACAGGCTGCCCCCAGCTCTGTAGCTGATCGTGGCCCACCCGCACTTGCTTCCGCAGTGCCAGCGTCTGCCGCCACTGTCTGCCTCTAGCCTCTCGCAGTCCAGCCAGAGCCTGCTGCCACTGCTCGGCCCTCCCGCATGCGCTGATTCCAACGCTGTAGCCAAGGACGTCGGCCTGTATTACGACTGTTGCCCGCTCGTGGAGTCGGGCCAAAGTCTGCTGCCACTTCGCGCACTGCTCGCACACGCTGATTCCAGCGCTGTAGCTGATGAAGGCGACGGGCCCCTGCGCTTTGGTGCCAGTGTGTTGTGAGGCATCACCGGTGCGCGCCAGGAGGAGGAGGAGGAGGAGGAGGAGGAGGAGGAGGAGGAGGAGGAGGAATAATAATCATCATAATAGTCATAATATTAATAATACTAGTAGTAATAGTCAGAATAAGGAAAATAATAATTATCCCAGTGCGACCCTACCTAGAAGTTGGAGCCACTAGGGATGCTGTGCTGTGCTATGCTATGCTATGCTATGTTATGCTATGCTATGCTATGCTATGCTATGCTATGCTGTGCTATGCTGCGCAATGCTATGCTGGGCTAGGCTAGGCTAGGTTAGGCTAGGCTATGCTATACTATGCTACGCTATGCTGCGCTATGCTATGCTACGCTACGCTACGCTATGCTATGCTATGCTATACTTTTGCTATGCTTTTGCTTTGCCTTCGCTTTTGCCTTCACTTTTGCCTTTGCTTCTGCTTTTGCTTGGCACCCAGGGAGCGCAACTGGGGGAACCGCGCGTTTGCTTTCACCTTGGCTGTTGCTTTTGCTTGGCTCCCAGGGGACCGGGGGAACCGCCCGGGGCGATTTCCACTGCCCGGCCCCTTTAAGCCAACAGAGTAAGAACCCTTCTAAGCAGAGCCTAGGTAGGGAATAAGAACAATAAGGAGGAGAAAAACAATAATACGAATAATACTAATTCTACGAATTCTACAGGCTTGCGCCACATTCGCTGACCCCTCTTAAACTACTGCGCCTCCAGGACTGCATTCCACGACGCTTGTCCGATTCCTGGGAGGTTCTTGGGGGCGTTTGGTGGCTCTGTTCGGGCTCCCTGGGGCCTTCTTGGGGCTTGTTGGGGGCTTCTTGAGGCAACCTGAGGGCGTCTTGGGGCCGAAGGCTGGAAATGTGGGTTTGGGTTCCCCCCGTGGACCCCCTTTTGGCGCCGTCTGGGGGCCCTCTGGGGCCATCATCGGGGCTTCTTTGGCGGTCTTGGGACCCTTGTGGGCCATCTTGGAGCTGTCCTAGGGGTCTTTTGGGCCGTCTTGCACGGTATGAAAGCGCAAGAGGCGAATATGTTTACAACATAAGTTTTCCTGAGGGAATGAGGCAATTTTCACTTCTTCGGTGCCTTTTGGGAGGCCTCTTGGAGGCCTCTTGGGGCGTTTTGGAGGTATCTTGGGCCGTCTGGATGCCATCTTGGGCGTCTTGGAACGATCATTTGACGATTCGGGGCCCTCTTGGATCGTCTTGGGGCCCACTTGGAGAATAAAAAATAATGAGAGGAAGAAGAATGTGAATGACTATGCATATGATTATTAATAACAGTCATGCGAATGTGAATAGTAGTACTGGTAATAATGATATGTCTTATAAGAAGAATGCTACGCATACTAATGATAATAGCAATATTAAGAACAATGGTAGAACGGTTTATATTCATAATAATGATAGTCTGGATTGTAAGAATACTGATAATCAGATTACGAATGATAATGATACTAAGGAACAGTAGTGCGAGTAATGAGACGAATCGTACTAATAATGATACCCGCAAGTAATAATAATACAACTAGTAGTAGACTAGTAATACGAGTAATAGTAAGAACACACAATCAATAATAAGAAAACGAGGAGGAGGAAGAGGCGGAGGAGGAGGAGGATGAGGAGGAGGAGAGGACGAAAGGAAGGGAAGAAATTCTGGCGCCTTTGCGTGCGCCACTTTACGGCTACGCCACGGCTGGCGTAGCCGCTCCTTGACGGCAACATGTTTCTTGATGGCGTGCGGCTCCCCGAAGCATGGCCGTTCCGAATTTTGCTTCGGGAACACCCGGGCAGGAGGAGGAGGAGGAAGAGGAGGAGGAGGAGGAGGAGGAGGAGCCCGTAGCCATTTTGGCTCAAATCCGTTGCGGCAAGCTCAGTGATGTGAGTTTTTTGGCATGGGAAGGACGACCCCAACCGTTCTGGCAGTGGGCTTTTCCGCATATTGCGCTGGGGGTTCATCCCCCATATTTTGCGCACTAATGCTTCGAGTGATTGGCCAGTTCCTTTCTCGCTGCTTCCATCGGACGTGATGTGCACATCAAATCCAGAACGGCCAAGGGGAAATGTTGGGCATGCGAGTGTGGATGCCGAAGCAATGTGGTGGATGTGGTTCCATCGTTGTGGCAAGGAGAGACCGTCGCCCATCATCGTTCCACCATGGCGTACTTGTGTTTCTTTGTGTTTGGCGTAAAGCTCTACATCGTGCCCCCGAACTCCACCAGCTCAGCGCCAGCATGATGTACTTCAGTCTGGCCTTCAGCTCCATTCTCATCTGGGCACTCGACCACCGACCATGTGTTCGCTGTCCACATCCTCCGTGGACGCGCGCACGAATGGAACCAGAACTTGTGGGTAGAGACGCTAGAGTCCAAAACAACTTTTGGCATAGTCGAGCACAACAGCATGAGGGCAGCATTCAAGAAGTTGCAGGGCGTCCAACGAGGATACATCTAACTACTCCAGCAGCTGTATGAGGGATAGACGGTTACGGTCAAGACTAACGTCAGCAGCAGGTTTTTCAGCGTCTTCTGGGGAAACAGCAGGGCGACCCGCTCAGTTCCTTACTTGTCAAAGCTTTGCTACAGCAGATCCTACACATATTGGCAAAATAAGGGGAGGGGAGTCCAGCTACGTAGGATTCACCAGTACCTCCGCATTCACCAACTTCCGGTTCGCCGATGACGTGTTCGTGACCACCCAAGCTCTGCCGCG